GCATAGTTCAGTTGTAGTTTTTATTAAATTTGTTTTATAAACAGCACTTTTCTTGTTTACATGAATGTTTTCTATTTTGTTCTGAAATGCATAAATAATAATAAAAAACAAACATTAAAATTCAATATTTATTTTTAGTCCTGTGCCACCCCCACTGGCCGTAAAATCCTCCCTTCAATGAGCTCAAAGCGGCCCACGGGCCACCAGTTGATAATCAGAGTTGTAGCAGGTGTTTTGGCTCGGGACACATTTTATCAGCGAGTCGTGGAGCAGAAAAGACTCTTCTGACAGGTGAGGCCGCAGATCCCTGGTTGAGGAGAGCAGAAAAGTTCAGTTTAGTCTCTCCTGCCTTCAGCAAAAAGTAGTACATGCAAGTATCCATTATTTACACTTAAAATAAAAAAGTATACTTCCGGTTTACTTTTTATGTTATCTGAGGTATACTTAATCAAATTTATTTTACACTATACTTGGCTTGTACTAAAAGTATACTAAAAGTTTAAGTGTACTTAGTTTATACAAATGTTTAAGTACATGTCATTACGTATACTGAAGTATATAAGAGTGTATTTCCCTAAGTGTACTTTTAGTTACCTTGTAAACTGATAGAAGTATACTAGCAGTTTACAAACAAATATACTTCTAGGACTAAATTGACCCACGAAAGGTTTATGAAAGTATACTCAGAAGTATACTGAAAGTAATCTTAGTATAGTTTTAGTTTAATCTTGAAATATACTACAAATAAACCAGTCTGTGTGAAAAGTGTACTACTAAAGTTTATCTTGACCAAAAGTTTAAAGTATACTTCTTTTTAGGAAGTTTATAAACTTAAAAAGACATAACAGTATACTTAAAGTAAACTTTATATACTAAAACATCCCAATTTAGTACGAACAAGTTTTAAATCAATATGCTTTCTAGTACACTACAAGTACATGGTGCCTAGTACACTTGATATACTCAAGTATACTTATTAAAATGAACTTCAAGTATACTACTTTTTGCTAAGCGTGGTGCTGTGTGTTTTCACTTGAAATGCTTTTTCGTTTCTGCTGAGTTTCCTTTTCAGGTGTGCCTCACCTGCCTTGATGTGCTGCAGCTCATTTGAAAGGATGATGTCATCACAGAGTTTCTTTTTATCTCCTCTCCATCCCTTCCTGCTCCCCGACCTTCACTCATCCTCCTCCTCTTCTCCCTCTAATCCACAGCGTCTCATCCTTGTCTCTGAAGGATCCACTCTTTACATAATGAACTGAAGCTCCACTGAGAAGTCGTCTTTCTCACCCCTCCTCCCATCCTCTCTCTCACTCCTTTCTTCTCTCACACTTTCTCATGACTTCCCCCCTTTCTTCCTCTCCTCCGGACACCCTTCAATCTGACTCGTTCTTTTTGGAGTTTATTTTTATCTCTGAGTTTTTCTCTCCCCGCTCTGTTGATGAACATTATGACCAGGGCTGTGTATTGGCAAGAATTTGGCGATACGATACATATCATGACAGAGGGGTCACGATACGATATATCCCGATATATTGGGATACTGTAAGCAAGGCAATATATTGTGATTTTTTTGTCCAAAAATTCTATTAGATAAAAACCTCTTACTGAAAAAAAAGAAAAGCTAATGTTTACTTACAATGCTAATGCTACCCTTACTCTCTGGCGCTCAAGAGGTAGAGGAGCCAAATGGCTGGCTCACTGCTGCCAACTAGTGGTCAGAGGCTGAACTACAACATAAAAATGAACGGTTGGCAAGAAGGTTGACATTTTAAACTTTAATAAAAAATAGATACAGGGCTTTATAATATCAATACAGTATCGGGAAATGAAATATCGCGATATTTCAGTGTGTCGATGTTTTCTTACACCCCTAATTACGACTGAATGTGGGTTCAGTCCACATGAGACCAGGATTTAGGTTTTTTTTTCCCAAAGCTGTTCCTCAGGGCTTTGATGTTGGACTCATCGGGTTGTTGTGTGTTTGTGATGGCTGTGTGTCAGTCAGTTGTGTGACTGTAAAGATGAGGATGATGCAGAGATCTTCCTCTCTTCACGGTGTGAGATGTTTGGAGTTTGTGTCTCGACTGATGAAGACTTTGAGAATTTTTGAAAAATCTACTGGAGTTTAATGAAGTTTTTTTATACTGCTTTGTATAAATGAAATGTGCTGTGCAGATTTGAGATTTTCAAAATAAGATGAGATCAAAGCTGCTGTTATTGATCCAAAAGGATTTTCGTTTAAAATTCTGCTAATCACCTGTCCTGCAAGTGTCAAGTAAAGACTTTTAAATTGTTTTTGACCAGTTCTTTCTCAACAATCTGTTGTGAAAAGTTCACTGAATGCAGTGAAATGATAACCGTTTGGTTGTAAAAATACAACATGGCCGCTCCCTTCAAACATCCTGCTGGCTTTAAGTCCCAACAAGAGAAGGCGGGACACTTTTATAAAACACAACAGTGCACGATACTTCAGGATTATTTACTTATTCCATCTACAGTTGGGATTATTTTTGTGCTCATGACAGTTTTATTTTGAAGTGAAACTTTTTCCCTTTGCATTTTTTGCTTATTTGTTTGTGTCTTTGTTTTGTTTGCTCTTACGGTAGATAAAATCATGACATCATGACTAATTATATACTTGAACTTAGACTTAAAGGGGAGAAGTCTACGGAGTTTATTTAGTTGTTTTTTTATTATTCAATCAAAAAAAAAAGGTTGTTTCAATCAAAAATAAGTTTCAAACCAAAAAAATTATTTCAACCAAACAGAAAAGCAATTTCAATTTAAATAAATTTTCTATCAAAATGTTTTGTTCAAATAAAAATAAAATAAAAAAAAATTTTCTCGCATGTCAGAAATCTTTGGTTGAATCTCAAAGTTTTGGTTGGTGCTCTAACTCAAAAAAGTTTTGAACTCATATAAAATGACCTCACATAAATTATTTAAGAATTAAAATAGCTAATTCTATTGCATTGCTTTACAAAGTAAGGGACTTGTTTAATGATAAAGCTGTGTAAATGTTATATAACACATTAATTGTTCCACTTGGTTTAGTTTGTTGAGGAGTTTTTTAATGAACTGAATAAAGTTAACTGAGCTAAACTAAACACGTACATCCAGGGCGAGGCCTAAGGAGGAACTATAAAAGACGTGTCCCTATTGGTTACTGCGGACTGAAGCGATTTCCTCATGCACCTCTTTGAATGTTGTCAGTACATTAAATATCCGTTATTAGCAATCAGTCCCATACATTTTCCAAACTGTCCCTCCTCTACCTCCTATAGGTTGGAAGGCACTTATCAATCATTTATATAGCTGATAATATTCATTTAGTGCGCAGTGGGTTTAGCCCCTCCCCCAGGATGTGGAGCTTGCCGTCAGAGGGCTTCTTCTGTGACATGACTGCAGCGAAACTACCTCGCTGCTTTCTCAGGCTAATATCTGAAAAAGTGCTGAACAGATTTATATGTAACTTTCAGGAAATGTTTATTGAGTTCAACCAAAAACTTCCAGTATCAACCAAAAGTTTGAGATTCAACCAAAGATTTCTGACGTGACAAAAAAAGTTTCTGTTAAAAAAACATATTGATTATTATTTTTATTTTATTAAAACTGATATTTTGTTTGGTTGAATTTTTTTAAAATTTATTGTTTGATTGATTTAATAAAAATAAATAAAATTACCTCCAAACTAGGCGTGCAACGATACAGAAAATTCACGATTCGGTTCGGTTCGATACTTTAGTCTCACGGTTCGATATTTTTTCGATACAAAAAAAGAGAAATGTCCATGCTCTTTTTAACTTGTAATTTATTGAAATTAATTATGAACATTTGTTTAACCTCAAAAGTACAGTTTTTTTAATTAAATGTTGCTGAAACAGCAAGTTTCTCAGAGGATCTGCACTCAAAAATGCAGCCTAGGTGGAGTAGTCGAACACAGACCCACTGATCCTTCAACACAGAGCATCTTCAGAAGACAAGATGATAAAATAAATGTTAAAAATATGTATTGTTTGATACAAGTGTGTACTGAGCGGTTCGATACGGGTACATGTATTGTTGCAGCCCTACTCCATACAGATCCTGTTTGGTCTACACATTTTACAGCTGGTCTTAATGGATGAAATAATGTGTTGGTTGTGTGGTACTTTTATTTTAGTTTTGTGATTTAAAATAACAAATCAATGAAAATCAGGCACTAAATTTTAGAATAGATGTAAACTTATTGATGAAATGTTATTTTTGTTGTCAAACATCGATCCGCTCCTCCTCTCAGGACCCGTTTGATGCAGAGCTTCAAAGAGTCCCACTCCCACGAGTCCCTGCTGTCCCCCAGCAGTGCTGCCGAGGCGCTGGACCTCACCTTGGATGAAGACGCCATCATCAAACCCGTCCACTCCAGCATCCTGGGACAGGAGTACTGCTTCGAGGTAAATGGAGACAACAACACAAAGATAAAAGAACAGAACAGTTAACGGTTAAAAGTTAACAAAACCAAAAACACCAAACATCTGACATGAAATTAATGAATTTTGATTTTTTTTTTACTTTTTGACAAAAGTGAAAGAGAGCCTGGAATTGAGCTTTAGTTTTCTGAAGTTTTTCGTCACTTTTTCATTAACGGAAGCAGACAGAGGCTGAGTGTGAAAAACAAGACATTGTTTTGGCGCCGTGGTTGCTGTCTCCATGGTGACTAATGGCTGTGGTACCGTTGGCTATAACCTCAGGTGACAACGGCTTCAGGAACCAAGTGCTTTGCGTGTCGCTCAGCCGCAGAGAGAGACAAATGGATCGAGAACCTGCAGAGAGCTGTCAAGCCCAACAAGGTGAGAGGAGAGAAAGGGATGCGGTAGAGGAAGGAAAAAAGAAACGAGATAAAAAAGGGGCGGAGCCTCCTGTCTGTGTGTCTCTCTCTCTCCTCCCGTCTCCTGTTGTTGTATGTTTTCAATGAGGGCGCACCGCTTCATTTCTCTGTGTGAACTCCATCCTCATGTCAGTGTGTGTCTATGTTGAGCTCCTGCGAGCGTTGTGTTAACTCACTCAGGGTGGAGAAGCCACCGCTCAGGTGACGGTGTGATTTCAGTAAATTGTGTGCAGCAGGTTGATGTGTACCAGCCCTGCGAGGCTGTGGTGATGAGCAGACGCACCAAACATGAGTTCAAGTATTTTCACTCATGCATACATTTAGTAACACGGACGCAACAAATGAAATAATACATACATGCACAGGTTTAAGGCAAAACAGCTTTTTCCGTTTTCTAGAACCTGGACATGTTTGGTATCAAAATAAACCTAAAAAACGTCATGGAAACTATTTTACATTCACCAAACACAGTTCAAACGTTAAGCAGTTGAATCAGAAAGTAAACAAACTACAAAATGGCGTCATTGCAAATCTGTAAAGGTAAATTTTTTACATTATTTTTGAAAGTAAGTCAAAACAAACACCTAAATATGTTTTAAAGTATATTGAAAGTGTATTTTTTCACTTGATTTTGAGTGAATATGATCCAACTGAAGTCAAATATAATTTCTCATTATTTTATATAATGGTGACAAATAAATGTTTGGATATTTTTTCAAAGGAACAAATATTCAATACGTCTTTTAAGCAGGTAAGAAAAAAATAAATAACTTTTGGACATAAAAACTTAAGATTTCCTAACATTTCTTAATGGTACCATCATGGTCAGTCCTGTGCAGAATGCAGGGGCGGTTCTAGGGGCGGGGCCACAGGGGCATTTGCCCCAGCGAAAATCTGATTGGCCCTCTGAAGTGCCCTTGTCCTGTACCTCATCTGTCCTTTGCCCAAGAGCGCTGATTGCAGATGCAGTTCCATGTCCAAACACTAGAGGCACTAATGAGTCAAACAGGAAAGTCCAGCATGAATCAAGCTTACAGAAGTTTTCTTCTCTTCTTAAGAAAATCAGAACAATACTGTGTAGTCTTTCCACTGACAAATGATGACTAGATTTTTCTCAAATGTTCTGTGTTTTAAAGTTTTTTTTATCTAGTAAAAATGTATGTAAAACTGGTAAAGAGAATTTATTGTGCAAGCTTTTAAAAAAATTATACTACAATACAGGTGTTTGAATGTGTGACTGGTTAAACATGAACACCTTACCAAAACTCTGGATTTGTGTGAAAGAAAGTTTAACAAATACTTGGCCCCTCTATAAATATAGTGGCCCCTTGATGGCCCCTTACTCAGAAAAATCCTAGATCCGCCACTGGCAGAATGACAAAACGCAAAATTATTTCTTTACTTCAACCTCTGTAACTTTGCTCTGGTTAGTTTTAGCAGCATGAATCTTTGCACAGGTTATGTCCACAAGGATTTATGGTTTCCAACAGTTTTTAGCCTGATTCATTATGGTTTTAAATGGGTTATATACTGTCAAATGAAAAAATAATTCAGGTGAAAGGGGTTTTCTTGAAGTTTTTGCTCAAAAAGTTTACATTTTAACAATATTCTGCTCACAGAAAATATTGTCTCATGTTAACTCTGAGGAATGTTCCATGGGTCGGCTGGGATTTTAGTGCTTTAGAATGAGCTTTTACTAAATTTTTAAGTGAGTTAGTGCTTTAGAATTAGGGGACCTAAATATTAAAGTTAGTGTTTTAGGGTTAGTGGAACTAATTTTTAGATTGGTGCTGCCCACCACTGACTGTTTGTATCAATGTGCTAAAACCAGCAGAAAGTGACCATAGGGCAGCATTTTTACAGCCCCAATGAGACTCTAATCAAAGGAGTTGATAATATCAATTATTACGTAGGGGGAGTATACATATTAACATGATAACACAGAGCATCAGACTGTACCGCCCTATGACTGTAAATAAGTAAAAACCTGATCATTAATCAGTGAAAAACATTTCAAATTCAATTTAAATTACTCAAAATAATTGAGAAGCACACAGAACAAAACAATACACAAATAAGCTGCGTAAATAAGCATTTTACGTTGTTTATTAGGAGGAACTACTTTGTGTGGTGAATGAATTTATGGACAAGCCGTTCCTGGTTCTTTCACACCAATATGTAGTTTATGAGAAAGAAAAGTCTTACATAATTTTCTCCTGAACAGTGCACACATGCATCACAAGTGTTTCAGAGTTTCATACACCAAGTTCAAACCTAAATCCCCCTCAGAGTTGTTAAGAACGAGCAGACACGCAGCTCAGATGGCAGCCAGGGACTGAAGACAAATGAAACATCTCGTCTCGTCCAGATGCTCGGGCCGCGGGGATCCTGGCTGAGTCATGGAGCTCCCAGGATTTCTCTCCTCCCCCGTCCTACCTCCTAATGTCACAAAGCGTCTCAGACCAGATGTACCAGCAGAGATGAGACTTATCACTGTTCTTCTCATCTTCCTGGACCCGTTCATTTCCTCTCTCAGCTTTAAAAGTTTCCTCCTGTGCAAAAGCAGAGCAGCTACTCCACCCTGATTCACAGCTTTCATTTTCTTATAAAATACAACCCTGGTGCTAAAATGAGACCTAAAATAAAATAATAATAATCATCTCAAAAAGCCATATTTTATTCCCAATGGAACAGTAAACACATGTTTACTGTTTAGAATAGGAAGTTTTTCCATTTTTGGGGAATAAAACCAGATTATTTTAAGTATTTTGGCTCCACCACATCTCAAAACAGTTGAGACATGATAAAAGTAAAGGGACTGTCCACGTGTTTTAGTTTTCAAACTGGAGCAGATCAAAGATGCTCATTGTAGTGAAAACAAGTGGAATCACCGTTTAGCCCTTTAGAGTTTTTTTCTTGTAAATTTCTGACTTTTTTCAGAAAATATTTAGTTTAAAAATAGAAAATTTCTGGAAATTATGGAAATTTTTTTATTTTTTTCTCTCGCACATTTACAACTTTTCTACATAAGAAAATTTGTGGAAAAAAATGAAATGAAATGTGAAAATTTCTGAAATGAATCTAAAATTTTTTGAGATTTTTGGCAGAGATTTGCTTCTATTTTTTCTCTCTCTCTTTGCAAACTGGCCCTAATATGTCGTTGTAAGCATTATACATGAGGATTAGATTTTTTATGCTTTTCAAAAATGAGGGTCGCATTAGACTAGACTTCATTATGAATAAATACGGTAGGTTACCGTATTTTTCGGACTATAAGCCGCACCGGACTATAAGCCACACCCTCCATTAAAAAAAAAAATCCTCGAACATTAACATATAAGCCATACCGGACTATATGCTGCACCCCCAACATAAAAAAACAGTACACCCAAATTTGCCGTCAAAAAAGTGAATTCAACATCAAAACACAAAAACCAAACCTTTAGGAATTAAAGTTCGGAGGAATACGGTTCATTTAACTGACCTTATTTTGGTAGTTTTCTTTAACAGTTTCTGGTCCAACAAAACGTCTCATTCATCGTCCTCCGGCGCACTGAAACCATCGAAGTCCTCCTCTTCAGTGTCGGAGTTAAACAAGCTGAGAAAAGCTGCGTCACACAGCGGTATCTGTTCAGTGTTGCTTTCTGTGTCGCTGTCCTCCCGGGGTAATGCTGGCTCTGAAGCTGTGCTGGGAAAGCCCTTCTGCTCCAGCATACGTCACTGCATGGGATTCCTTCCTCGGGGAGTGCAATGAGGGAAAAAAAGTCTGCGGCTCTTCACTCGAGGTTTATCCACAAACTGGTCCTGGATTAAGCTCCAAAGTTTTTATCAGTCAGATTCCACCGTGAAAAATGTCTGTTTTATCCCCCTTTATGAGTTTTTGGCCATTGACTATCTTTAAATCGCTGCTTCCTGGTACAACAGTCGGCTCTGGAAGCGATCGCTTTTTTCTTTTTTCCTTTCTTTTTTTTTTTGAAGCGAGTGGTTGAAGCAAATGGAGCATAAGAGCCCCCTGGTGGCTGAAGAAAAAATCCATGTATAAGCCGCACCGGACTATAAGCCGCATGGTTCAAAGTTCAGGAAAAAAGTCGCGGCTTATAGTCCGAAAAATACGGTAATTAGAAAACAATCCATAATAGGACCAGTATAAAAGGAACATTTCAGAGAGGCTGCTGCTCTCAGCACTGGTTCACCAGCTGATGAAACTGTCTAAAAATAGAACATTTTCCTCAACAAAGAAGACTTTAAATATCCCATCAGTTCATAAAAACCACATCCTCAGTACTAAAACAGAGAGGGATCATCCAGATTGTTATTGGCACAACGTTCAAATGCCTGCCTCTCTGATGGTATGGGGTGCAACAGTACCTCTGACATAGGTCAGTTAAATCTGGAAATGAATGAATAAATAGTTTGTACAGGTTTGGTCCCATCCTGCAAAAATACCACCAAGGAAGAACCAGACTGTGGAACTGCTAGAATCCTACATCAGAGAAAGACAGGACAACGTTTCCCTCCCAAACCTCCAGCAGCTGGTCTCCTCTTCTAGACATTTCTATATTATTGTTAAAAGTTACTTGATGTTGTGAAACACGGCCCTGAAACAACCTGGAAAACTTGTAAAAAAAACTGTTTGAAATGTTTTTTTCTGTTTCATTGGGTTAATAAGATCTGCAAACATTACATTCTGTTTTTATTTACCTTTTAATCTAATTCCCCTCTGGGATTAATAAAGTATTTTTGAATTGAATTGACACAAATCTTTTAGAAATGGAGGTAAAATCGAGCTCAGACAGGAAACAGAAAAGTCGTAAGGTGATGTCACGGTGGAGAACTTGAACCCATGCTGGTGCTGCTGCACCGACAACACAAACTGAGACACCAGAGGACTATTGCACAAAACTAGGATAAGGGATTAAGGCAGGATTTTGGTGTAAACCTGAATTAATTAAGCCTTGAATCGGTTGCATGAGCTACGAAGCACTTATGTTTCTGTGGTAACAAGTGCTCTGAAACTAATCTGATCCCGACCAGGTTTAAAATGAAGCTTATTTAATCTGTTAGTGTTATTTTGAGCAGTAGAGTCATTTTACTGCAGACAAATGTTCCTCTAACCAAGTTTTACAGTCTTATTTCAGCTCAAAAATATTTTACATCTTGTTTTAGACCAATATACTAAACAAGATCAGAATATGTTGGATTATTAATCTTGTTAATCTTACCAAGTGCAACTGTCAAACTGCAGATTATTAATTATTATTAATTTGAAAAGAATAGATGGCTAATTTTTGCAGTTTCTGATCAGAAATCAGTTCTTCATACACTTATTAAATTTCTTCTTTTTTTCTTTGCATTAAAATGTTACAGAGTAAATATATTTATTTAATTTATTTATCAGATGACAGCGCTTCAGCCTCTAACACCCCCCCACCGTCCCGTTCCGTCCCTCGTCTTTTCCTACAGCGATTGTTTAAATTGAACAATCAGCTGTTTATTTCCATTTTGTTTCAGATAGTTTACAGACAGATTCAGTGGCACAAAAAGTTTTTTTTATAAAAATTTTCAGCATCAGTCGGTGTTTCTCTTCATCTCTTCATATGAATCATTATTAACCCTTACACTGCTGGAGAAGTGAGACTCACGTGTCTTACTGTGCATGTCTGATCAGGAAATCTTTGATCCCCCCAGTGGGTCTAGTAAACAAACCGTGAACGTGCATTACTCCCAGATTATTTACACCTGGCTTGAGTGAACCACCCTAACTGAGCGCGCCTTCGTGTTAGAGCAACTGATTACGGCTGTTTACAAGTTGAAGGCGAGTTCAAGCTCAGCTTACAGCTCATATCCTGAATTTAGAAATCTGACTTTTGTGCATTAGGCCTCAGATGTCCGTATTCACACTCACAGATTTAAAATGAATGAAGCCTCTTGTTTCTCACCAGTTTAAAATAAAATAAATCAAACATTCAACCTGAGAACCAGCACTGACGATGCTGTTTGGGATTTAAAATTAGAAGCTGGGTGATCAGAGGCAAATGGGGCTAACGGCAGTAATATTTCAGTCCAGCTGTAATGATCCAGCCTCGGTGCACTGAGACATTATTCTGTAATCAGCACGGCGCCTCTCTCCTCCCACAGGAGCTGTCAGATGTAAATCAGTCTTTGTGGTCATGATTGGAGAGTGTCACAGCCCACAGAAACACTCTCACCATTGTTTGTCTCTTGTCTTTGCTACATGTGCATTGTGTATTTTAATTCTGAAGTGGATAAGTCTCTTTTTTTCTGTCATCTTCTTTTTGTGTGTCTTGTCATGTTGGTTTCTGCCTTTGTGTTCATGTGGAGTTTTACAGCAACTTATCAACTTCAGCCGGCTGTTCACAGCAGCCAAATCACCAAGTCAGCAGCCATTTCTTTCCTGTCATTTCCTGCGTTTCCCTGCAGGACGACCTGCTGTCGCCCAGTGTTCACTCTGCTTCCCTGCCCTTGAATTCGTTTTACATTTGTAGCTTCGCCTAGACATCATCTCACCCTTCTGTCTGTCTGTTTTTAAAAGAAAAACTGTTATAAAATTTATTCTGGTTTGTCTGACCCGGCTCCGTCTCCGTACAGGACAACAGCCGGAGGGTGGACAACGTGCTGAAGCTGTGGATCATCGAGGCCCGAGAGCTGCCGGCGAAGAAGCGCTACTACTGCGAGCTGTGTCTGGACGACATGCTGTACGCACGCACCACCAGCAAGCCCCGCACCGACACCGTTTTCTGGGGCGAGCACTTTGAATTCAACAACCTGCCAGCTGTGCGCAACCTACGCCTTCATCTGTACAAAGAGACGGACAAGAAAAGACGCAAGGTGACGGAGCTAACTGCTACTGCTGTTTTCAGTTTGGAAAATAAACATAAGATCTGATGTAAAGAACCACGTAAAGCACGTGTCAAACTTAAGGTCCGCGGGCCACATTTGGCTCACAAGTGACTTCTGTCTGGCCCTCTCCAAAATATTATTTTAAGTTTTTGAGTTGATAAAATATAAAAAAACAATATATACAAATGGTAAACTTTATGTTTATAATTCAATAAAACAAAATAAACACATTTAGAAGGTGATGGATAAGAATACTTGTCCTGAGCATTTGGCTTCGAGTACCTGTGGTCTCTTGAACAGTTTAGTTCAATAGTCCTGTGTTAATGTCTCAAAATAAGCTGCTTTAAAGCCAGCATTCATAATAAACTAAATTTACCATAATGCATGTTGGTTATGTGGGAAATCCCTGTTGGAAATTGAGAGAGTTCAGAATTCAAAACTTATCACAACTCGACAGTGTCTAAAACTATTTTACTTTTACTTTTAATAATATTTCTGTAATATTTGTTTCACATTTAATCAGTCGTACACTTAAAACTTTCCAGTGTTTATAAGAGGACGTGTTAAAACACTGTTTCTATGCTGGAAATACCAGGTAGAGCTCAGTTATTGTTTGTTAGCAGAGCTCAGCTGTATCAATGAGTGATGCTACGGCTGGAACGTGATGTTTCCTGTTTAGTCGAACAGGACCACCATAACAGTTTTGTGGCCCTCTGTGAAAATTAATTTGATACACCTGATGTAAATAAGAAGACAATAAAAAGGTTTATCTTGTGTTTTTTTTTTGTTTGTTTTTAGTTTAAAGTTTATTCATTTAAAAACAACACAAATTCAACATACAACAAAAACACAAGTCACAAATTAAATTGAATGAAAGGTAGCAGAAGAAGAAAGAATCTTATAATCTCTGCCCCTTTTTCCACAAACAAATTCAAAGAAAATATTCTTCAATTTACAATAAACATAAATAATAATTTCCTATTAAAAAGAAAAAACATACAAATTTTACATACAATAAATACAATATAAAAATAAAATGCAAGGCAGCAGAAAGAAGAAAAATCCTACAATATCTGCCCCTTTTTTAAAAAAGAAAAAAAGATAAAATAAACAAATTAACCGTTAAGTAATAAAATAAAAAGAAAAGAAAACAACAATAATCCTCATTGAACAAATTATATGAGTACATATTCTTTTTCATATTTCTTCAATAAATCAATTTTAATCATTCTCTTAAACAGAAACATTAAGTGTTTATCAAAACCACTATAAAAAAGTTTATAGTTTAAAGTTATTTTAAGGTTGCAGCCATCCAGTTTGGTCCCATCAGGCTAGCAGCTCTGGGGAAACTTTTAAAATAAAATCTGATTTATTTCATCATTTCTGCCAGTTGTTTCTGATCCTGCTTATCAGAAGTGTATATCTGTGTGTCCTGAAGGAAAAGAGCACGTACTTAGGGCTCGTCAGCATCCCCATCTCCAGCATCACCGGTCGTCAGTTTGTGGAGCAGTGGTACCCGGTCATCCAGCCCAGCGTCCTCACAAAGGGTGCGGGTGTCGGAGGAGGGAAGATCATCAATGCATCGCTACGTCTCAAATCCCGCTTCCAAACCATGAACATCCTGCCCATGGAGCTGTACAAGGAGTTCGCAGAGTACGTCACCAACAACTACCGCACCCTGTGTGCCGTGCTGGAGCCCGTGCTGAGTGTCAAGAGCAAAGAGGAGGTGGCCTGCGCTCTGGTGCACATCCTGCAGAGCACGGGTAAAGCTAAGGTACACAACGCTGCTTCTTCGACATCTGAAACTAAACAGAAGCTTGTTTTTTCTCTGTGTTTGGTATCAGAATTAGAGCAGAAATAAACTGTTGTTCTCCCTTCCTGCAGGATTTCCTGTCTGACATGGCGATGTGTGAGGTAGACAGATTCATCGACCGAGAACACCTTATCTTCAGAGAGAACACTCTGGCCACCAAAGCCATAGAAGAGTACCTCAAGCTGATCGGACACAAGTACCTCAAGGACGCTATTGGTGAGTCCAAACAGTTTAAGAAGTTCAGCAGTTTGATTTATTAAAACACTCTCTAATGAAAGTAGTTCTCCTTGAAAGAATGCATATCCACTTTGCATGCCAAAGTTTTCAACAAAGATCCCATGTGATCAAGTATTTATTGTCAGAATATGTTTAAATTATATATTACCAAATTTTTCATCTTTAGCCTGGGGCGTGCCCCTTTTACTGTGTGTGCATAAAAGATAGGTAATCCTAGAGTTGCAGTGATAAGATGTCTAAACTGCTCCTGAGTCCACGAGTCTTAAAGTGCCTTTGGCATCAAATTTTTGTAATAAATAGGAATGTTTTTTGGAAAGATAACATTGATAAAATATTGCAAAAATAATTTCACGTTGCTGAGATGAACACTTGTTGAGATATTCATAACAGGAAGTGATGTCAAAGGGGAATGTCTGCATGTAAACAGAGCATTGCTACACAAGCTAACAACATTACTGAGAGGAAGAATCTGACATTTCTTTAGATTATTTTGAGTCTCTATCAGAGAGATGAAGAAGAGTCAGAGTTCAAATTATTTTGTTTAATAAATAAAGACACTTTGATGTCACTTCCTGTTTCACTTTGGCTGAACTAAATTCAAAAGAAAAAATACCAGTTATGTCACTAAATGAGTAAAATCATGTTTTGTTCCAATTTTCTTAAATATAAAGATGTTTTCTTTGACATTTTGTATTTAAAGGATCTGCATGTCACAGGAACTTTATAAAAAAAACTATTTTGAAACATCTTGTTCATTTGGGAATTTTACACAGATTTCTCCTTAGTGACAGATGATTGTTGAATGATGCAATATTTTTTTCAGTAATAACTCTGAAGATGTCACTGATAAAATGTTCTTGCAGGTGAGTTTATAAGGGCCTTGTATGAGTCAGAGGAAAACTGTGAAGTGGACCCGATGAGAATACCCCCGTCTGTGCTACCAGACCACCAAGCCAACCTTCGAATGTGCTGCGAACTGGCACTCTGCAAAATTGTCAACTCCCATTGGTAAATTCTTGATTACTGCAAACATAACTAAATAAAATAGCTCACTAAAGATGGCTGAGACTTGATTAAATGTCACTGTTTTTCTTCTCAGTGTTTTCCCGCGTGAGCTAAAGGAAGTTTTCGCCTCCTGGAGAGTGCGTTGTGCCGAGAGGGGTCGAGAAGACATCGCCGACCGTCTCATCAGTGGCTCGCTCTTTCTCCGCTTCCTGTGTCCCGCCATCATGTCCCCGTCTCTGTTCAACCTCACCCAGGAGTATCCCGACGAGCAGACGTCACGCACGCTCACCCTCATTGCTAAAGTCGTGCAAAACCTGGCTAACTTCTCCAAGTCAGCAAAGTTTCTGTTTTTATATATAGAAGTAGTTGTCAACTACTATCTGTTTGATCACTTAACCTTTGTAACAATTCAGTCTCCCCATAAACTCACATAATACAAGAAATTATACAATTTTTAAAATTTAATTTTATTTATTTATTTATTTTACTCCAACCTGCAGGTTTGGCAATAAAGAGGAGTACATGTGCTTCATGAATGAGTTTTTGGAGATGGAGTGGGGCTCCATGCAGCAGTTCCTGTATGAAATATCCAACCTGGACAGTGTCAGCAATGCAGGTGGCTTTGAGGGCTATATTGACCTGGGCAGGGAGCTGTCCATTCTGCACAGCCTGCTGTGGGAGGTCATGGCTCAGCTCAGCAAGGTAAATGCTTTAAACTGCTCCAACACGACTTTTATTTATCACGTGTCTGGATTTTAAGAAGTTTAATTTCCTTTAACTACAGGATGCCATCATCAAACTAGGTCCTTTGCCCCGCCTCCTCAATGACATCAGCATGGCGTTGCGTAACCCTCACCTCCAGAGACAGCCGAGCCATCAGACGGACAGGGTGCAGGACAGACAGATGGACAGGCTGCTCTCACGACCAAGTTTTAACCGCGGCATTTCATCTGAGTTCCAGAATCTCATGATGAGGGATTTAAACAGGTAGGCACCTGGGACGTGGGATTTTAAAGGAGCCATTACCAGATTCAAATGCAGACAGTTTTACTTCACATTTACCTTTATTGTTGTGACACTAATGAGGACCCTTCTCACCAAGACCTAAAATATTTTTATGCCATTATTCAATGTGAAATGTTCCTTAAAGGGGGTGTATTATGTTATAATGTCATTCCTTCATCCAAAACGTACCCAGGGTGATGCTTTGACTCATTCATGCATGTTTGAGAAATCCTTGAATATCCTGTGGTAACAATGTGGGGCTGCCTAAACGCTTGCTGGTACAAATCTCCACTTATTTACACAAAGCACCGCCTATTAACACAACGCACCGCCCATTAACACAAAATACCACCCATTTACACAAAACACCGCCTATTTACACAAAGCACCGCCCATTTACACAAAGCACCACCCATTTACACAAAGTACCCCCATTTACACAAAGCACCACCCATTTACACAAAGCACCACCTATTAAATCAAAGCTCCATCCATTTACATTTATGTATATATATATATGTATATATATATGTGTATTTATGTATATATATATATATGTATTTATGTATATATATATATGTATATATATATATATACATATATATATATATTTGCATATGTATTTATGTATATATATATATATATATGTATATATATATATATATATATATATGTATTTATGTATATATATATATATATATATATATATATATATATAACTTAAATACTTGATTATGGCATAGAATTGAACTATGTACCAGTTAAATACATAATACCTCCCCTTTAACAAACTGTAGACAGTGAAGCTTCAACTTAGCCAAATAGAAATGTAATACCTGACAATTGATTTCTACAGTTTGATCCTGCTTTAGTTTGACCAGTACTCTAAGTTTATTACTAATATGTTATGTTGGTCAATGAGTAATTGAAGATAGTTTATTTTTCACCAGCACCTCTACATGTAACTTTGAACTTGTGTGTATGAAACCCTTTTTTAACCCCTCCTCTCTTACTTTGGGGCTTTACTGACGGCTGTTCTCCAGCTCCATAGATATCACTCGTTTGCCTTCCCCCACCTCCACCGGAGGGGTCATGCCTTCCCGCTCCCAGATGAGTTTTCAGGACCGCGATCACCCTCATCGAGTTTCCAAAGACATGTTTTACGTCTCACGCCCACCCCTGGCCCGCTCCAGCCCGGCGTACTGCACGAGCAGCTCGGACATCACAGAGCCGGACCCTAAGGTGAGTGTTATCACGCTGAGCTTGGGGAATCATCATCCCATCCACTATTTTTGTTTTTTTCTCTTTTCAAAGGGAGGTTAGTATGACAATGCATGTTTGTCATACTGAAAAGAATCTGCCATCGTGTTGTCAAGGTTCTAGTTTGTCATGACATTTGCTTTTTTCCCACTGATCCACCCATCCTAGCGGTATTTCCTGGGAAATACTTTCAGGCATTCCGATACTCAGGCAAGCCTCGCGGTAAAAAAAAAACACCCGCACCACCCTCACCCATATCATCCGTGCCCACCCAGCATTATTAAATAAAGGGGGCCCACTAGCCTCTCATACCCCTTACTATAGGTGCTCAGTGTCTATAAAAGCGTATCTATGATGGACCTCCAGGATTCCCGAATGAACAGCGTGTCTAACCTGCAGTCGGTGGACATGCTCAACTCCTCCCAGGCCTCCATCGCTGGTATGGGCAGCTTCGGAGGGCTGAGCAGCGGAGGCGGTGGCGGCCTGGGGTCGGGCCTGAGCAGCCAGCTGCGGGCCGGTGGTAGGTTGTCAGCTGGCTCTGGCGGCTCCAGCATGTCTGGCGGCCTCCGGCTGAGCCAGCTGAGCCAGATGGGCGCCACAACCGACTCGCTATCCCAGCAGCAACAACAGCAGGCCGCCGCCATGCGCTACCCGCTTTCCTTCCAGAATCCCCTCTTTCATCTGGCGACGGCTGACGGGCCTCAACAGCAACAGTTGCACCACCAGCACAGTCGGGCTCAGCCCCCAGCACCCCTCCTCCTGGCCCCAGAACCTGAGCCCTCTCATCAAACCTACATTCCACAGTTTGCCCATGGAGGGTTCTCTCGCAGTGAGGATCTGTCCACCCTCAGGACCAGGGACAGTCACCTGGGCCAACCCAGCATCATCCACTCTCACAGCTACAGCGATGACTACAGCAGGGCTGACTACGCACGCAGGCAGATGTCCATGCATGTGCAGGTAAACATCCTCACATCAACCTATCTCATGTCTCTTTTCATGTGGTTTGATTGGATTATGTTCAAATCTGTACTCAAAACAATTAAGAAAAATAGCCTAAATGCCACGGATATCCGGTCCAGCACTTGGGGCCACTCTGACCACTTCCAGTTCGCAGGTAACACAGCGTTAGCTAAAGATTTTTTTCACCCCACGACTCTTAATGATTTCCACAGTACAGAATTATTATATTACATGTACCAACATTAACACAGGAGACGTATAGGTTCAGCCAAGTGGAAAAAAAATCACTCCAAAGTGGATTAAAGCCATAAAAACAAAGGAAAGACATTCGTGTTTATGGTTCCAGAATTTAGCCTTTTTTGCTTATCCTTGGCTGTTTGTTCTGTGAATTTGTCACGTAGAGCTGTGACACTTATATTGTTGGAAACAGCAGAGTCTGGGCTTTAAATTGATGGGCTACTTGTATGGTTTAGATCGTTTTCCCCGATGTTGGTGAACTGAAAACGTAATGATTATCTCTATTAGCTCTCGGTGCTCGGGAGGTGGGAGGGAGGGCGAGTGGGCGCGCTCGTCGCTCTAGTTCTGTCTACGCTGTAATATTCACTCTAACAAGGTTTTACTTTTGCATAAAACTCATGACAAAGTTGCCTAAAAGCATTTCATGCTCTGTATAACACATACGCACACACACACACCTACCTGTACCGGCTGCTGTGTTAGCTTCCTCCTAGCTGTCCTCTCTCGGTCTTGGCAGTGAAGGGGATAAATGTACATTTCCCTTTTGTAAATGGTAAATGGACTATACTTGTATAGCACCTTTCTATCCATCCAGGACACTCAAAGTGCTTCACACTACAGACATTCACCCATTCACACACACATCCACACACTGATGGTGGCAAACTACATTGTAGCCACAGCTGCCCTGGGGCACACTGACAGAGGCGAGGCTGCCATACACAGGCGCCACCGGACCCTCTGACCACTATCAGTAAGCAAGGCGGGTAAGGTGTCTTGCCCAAGGACACAACGACTGAGTTGACTGGACAGGGATCGAGCCGGCGACCTTCCGGTTCCAGGACGATTCCCCTAACCACTCTACCACAGCCGCCCCACCTTTGTAACCTCTGTCTTCTCATTTCTGACGCTGGCTCTTGAACATCCTCAGGTTAGAAACGCCGATTACAAACGCGAGCGTGAGATATTACAGCTAAGTCTTCCCTGTAACTCTATGATCCACAGCTGTCACCTTTAATCCTCATCAAGAGGAAAAAGGAGAAAAACTAACTACTTGATCGTACCTGCTGGTTAGTTGACACAACGACACAAAACAGAACTCACGTTTTAAACCAGTGGATCACAGATGCTTTAACTTTTGTGACTTTTTCACGGACTAGTACTAGGAGCTAACGCTAAAAACAATGGCAGTAACCAGGAAGTGGAAGGGAGGAGTGGGGCCAGAATTTTACCGGAAATACGTCATAATGACCGTGGCATATAGGCTATTAAGTAAAGTCGTGACCAGCTACATCATTCGTTCTATCTGAAAAACTATGGGAGTACCCGCTTCCAAACTTCAACATTTGATGTTGTCTTTTTATGTTTCACTTCCTAGTTTTCAGTAAGAACCTTTTGAGTTTTTTATTGCATTTATATAACATATTGTTATTGTAGAGTATTATTTAGTGTTAAAACTAATTAGGGTTTGGCTTCACAAAGTTCTGAGCTGAAAGTTTCTCAAAATCTATTTAAAAGAGAGAGAGATTTGCTGTTAACCACATCCAACCCAGAGTTCTCATGGGTCCTTGAAATCCTTGAAAGTTTGTGAATTTGAAAAAAGGATTTCAGGACCTTGGAAAGTTTGTGAAAACAGCCAAAAGTTACACTTGTTCTTGTAAGTCCTTGAATGTTTTTGGGGATTGAAGTTCTCTATTCACACCACTGATTTTCATCATCTGTAAAAACAAAATAATAATAATAAAATTAAATAAAAAAACATACTTTTGTTGCGCTGGATAACTCAGGATTGGTTTTCAACATAACGTGAGTCATGGTCATAGTTTTATCCAATCAGATCAGAGTAGGGCGGGTCTTTTTTTTCTGAGCCCAGGTTGGAGCACCACAGCTCCTCCTGTCCTCACCGAGGGTCTGGACATGTCCTCCCAAACTGAGCTGCCAAACCTCCCAGGACATAATTACATGTTCATGTATTGTGGATATGAATGTAGGGTAAACATTTAATCCACTTTCTTTCATTGATTCTGGCTCAGCAACTCCTATGTTGTTCAGTTTTTCATTGAATTTACATATTAAACCTGTTTATTGGTAACATTCTGTGGTAGCAGCAGGTAATTGCCATCACGCTTGGTTCTTAAATTTGAAGAAATTGGTACTGAAAAGTCCTTGAAAGGCTCTTGAATTTGATGTCGACCAAGGTGTGGGAACCCTGCCAACTTGTCCCGGTTAAAATAACATAAATTATTCAGGATTTTATTTTTTAAGAGTTCAAACTTTTCACTTTCCCCACACCTCTTGGACCTTTTCAGCGGCATGCTCGGTAAAAACAGCAAAATGAAACTCTGTGGTACTTGTTTTCTTACCAAGGATAATCTCCAACAGCAACAAGAAATGATGGGCATGGCCTCCCAGACTGGGACCTCGCACTCCTCCTTGGCCACCACGCCACCATCCACGGTCCAACCCATGCGCCAGAGCTCTGTGGCTCCGCCCCCCAGCCAGCGGGTCAAGTCCCAGACGTCCCATCAGCTGTCCGTCAGCTCGGCAGCTCAGCCCGCTCCATCCGGTAAATCTCGACCACAGAGCGGTAACCTTCTCCAGTCACCAGAATCCGGCTACGGCGGCAGGCAGCATGGACCCCGGCAGCTGTCGGTCAAAGACAACACCGCCCCGGGTCTCCCCCACCAGCAGAGCTCTGTCAGGGAAAGTGGAAGTCCACAGGGGACCACCAGTCAGAGCACTCAGCAGTCCCCACAGCAACAGTCTCAACAGCACCTTCTCAAACCCACCATGAGCAAACAGGTAACATCTGCATGTTTCATCTGATCAGTTGGTTTTCAGCAACATGAACGATGGCACTTAATGTTACAACTTTATCACTAATTCACTATTATTCTGTTTTTTCCCCCTCAGGGCTCCCAGACACCATCCACCCTCAATCCCCCGACCCCAGCTAACGAGAGAACTGTGGCCTGGGTTTCCAACATGCCTCATCTGTCAGCTGACATCGAAAGTTCGCGAATCGACCGAGAAGAATTCAAACTGAAGGAGTACTCAAAGAGCATGGATGAGTCGCGCATGGACAGGGTGAGCACCTGTTTAAACAACACTTATTATTATGACCCCCACACGTGAAGCGGGGGTCTAGTTTTCATACAGTTTATATTAATTTTTTTATTTTTCAAGATTTTTGGTCAACCTTAGCATGGAAACAGCTGCACCGACCAACATGAAATTTGGCAGGAATGTAGATGTGTCCGACTTACACTGCACCAGCCAGCGGTTTTACAATAGACCCCATCTGAGGAGGGGCTCCATCTGAAAATGTGGTTTCTGGACATATAAATGCTAATAACCCAAAAATATTCAGCATAGGAGCTTCAGATTTTTTTGTTATTTAGCTCTGATGAAGGGCTATCCGTTGGGCCCACCAATGAGCCCCCCATGCCCCCCGGACCCCCACCTTATCTGAAAAGGGGGTTTATGGACATACAAAAATGCTTATAACTCAAAAACCATTCAGCATAGGCAATTCAATTTTTTTAATTTAGCTCTGATGAAGGGCTAGGGCCCCACCAATGAGCCCCCCCACCCCACTGGACCCCCACCCAAACAATAAAATTTTGGGATGCACCTAGCAGCATGAAATTTGGCAGGACTGTAGATGAGTCCGACCTACACTGCACCAGCCAACGGTTTGATGATAGACCCCATATTTGATGAGGGGGCTCCATCTGAAAAGGGGGTGTCTGGACATACAAAAATGCTTATAACTCAAAAACTGTTTAACATGGGAGCTTCAGGTTTTTTTTTTGTTGTTGTTTAGTTCCAATGAAGTGCTATCCATCAGGCCCACCAATGAGGCCCCCACCACCACCACTTGAAAAGGGGGTGTCTGGATATACAAAAATGCTTGTAACTCAAAAACCATTTAACATAGGAGCTTCAGATTTTTATTATTTTTAGCTCAGATAAAGGACTATCCGTTGGGCCCACCAATGACCCCCCCCCCCACACACACACACACCCCACCGGACCCCCCCATCCAAAACAATTAAATTTTGGGATGCACCTAGCAGCATGAAATTTGGCAGGAATGTAGATGAGTCCGACCTACACTGCACCAGCCAACAGTTTTACAATAGACTCCATATTTGAGGAGGGGGCTCCATCTGAAAAGAAGGTGTCTGGACATAAAAATGCTAATAACTTAAAAACTATTCAACATGGGTGCTTCAGTTTTTTGTTGTTGTTTAGCTCTGATGCAGGGCTATCTATCGGGCCCACTAATAAGCACTCCCACCCCACCCCCTGTGGATCTCTACCCAAGGCAATGAATCTGTTCTGGTGACTTCTGTGTTCTGGTGCATTGGTGCTTTCCGTACGTGTGGGGTTCATATAAGCTACCACCATGATCTCTTTAGTTTTTAGGATGTGACACTTTTAATTTAGTTCAGTTCAGTTCAGTTTATTTTAGGCGTCCGTACATAGTTTGCATTGTGTTTAATTTGGCTGTAGCTTGAATAAATGTGATCCTTATTAAATCAAGGAACAAATGAAATTTGTCCTTTCTGGGTGCCTCTGCCTCAGGTCCGAGAGTACGAGGAGGAGATCAACTGTTTGAAGGAGCGCCTGGTGATGTCCCACAAAAAGCTGGAGGAGTACGAGCGCAGGCTTCTCATGCAGGAGCAACAGACCAATAAGATCCTCCTTCAGTACCAGAATCGACTCGAGGACAGCGAGAGGAGACTACGGCAACAGCAAGTGGAGAAAGACTCCCAAATTAAAGGAATAATTAACAGGTAAATGGAGGCTGTTGTTGGGATGGAGGGCAAAAGAAAAGCCATCATGTGGCTTTTTTCTGAATCGATGGAAATCCTTTTTCCTGGATATGTGGCGATAAAGTGGCATGTTCTCTAAAAGTCAGATAACTAATGTGAAATAAAAGGAATAAGTGAGCACAGGGGACTTCCAAGGTACAACTTCAAAATGCTGGGTTCAGTTTAACAAGATAAAGCATCAATTTGGAGCAGCTGTCGTACAAAATACTTGGACTGTTTAACAGCAAGGGGCTTTATTTATAAAAGGAACTGAAGATTGCATGATTGGAGACTGGTTTCAGTTTCATTAAGTCCTGTTGTCTCCAGAGTGAGACTGAAAGCCAAAGCAACGAGTGACAGAATAAAACAGATTATAACCCGCAGGACAGAGTTCTGGATGCTTTGGAGGAGTACGCAGGGTGTGTCCCCCTGGTGCTAGCTTCTTTTCTAACAGGAACAAAAAGTGGTTGATTGACCTTAAAGTGATTGCTGCTGCAAATCGTTTGTCCCAAGCCCACATTTGTTGTGTTTAGACAACTGCAGAGAGAGAACTGCAAGTGAGGCTTAATTAATCAAAGGTTTTTGTGAAACTCTAACCGGGTAGTCTCTGAGCGCAGCGTTTAGTTTTTATTGATCACCAACAAATGAAGTAGTTCATGGGAAAGAAGCAGAATATTGATTGTCTCTGGCTGTGCACAAGTTCAAAATCTAGATATTTATTTGATGTTCGCTGTGTTTTAAGAATTCTCTGAGTACTTTATGTGAGGCAGTCTCATCTGTTCCTGTTTTGTTTATCATAGAGAACGTGCTTAGTTTAAAAAGCAACATTTTTGCCATATTTTCACATTTTATGATAGTCTGGTCTGCAACTGAAGGGTGGATATCTGTGACAGAGAATATTGCCACTTCTAACCCACTCCAGGAAAGAAGAGCTGGAATGAAGACAGGGAGTCCTGCTCGTCCTTTAAAGGAAAAAGCATCTTTTACCATTTTTTTTAAAAGCATCATTAAAATCATCCGCCCTCCTCCTGTGCTGTTGCACCCACCAGCAGCCTTTTTTTCACAAACACTTTAACTGGACTTTGGGGAACCGTGTGAGATTATTCCACTTACTGTCCAATTATCCAAAAGGTTTCCCCGTAAAAGCACAAGAGGATCGATAGTAAAATAAACACGACTGCACTTCTTCTGACGTGAAAATGATTGTGTTGGACTTTGGTGCACAGGACTGTGGAAGACCACGCTTTGGGTTTAGCTCTTCCTTTTTGAATCAAAGCGAGCTCTGTTCCCCGAAGGACTGCTGAGGTTTCTTTCCACAGAAGAAACTTGGGAACTGACAGCTTTCCTATTTTTTTATTATATAGAACAAGGTGGAAGGAACATTACAGATTAAAGCTTGAATAAATAAGTTTTTGGTAAAGATTGGAGCGGAAAGTCGTAGAGGAACTCTCCATTAGCAGAGCACTTAAAGCATCCCCCCCGATTATCTCTCCCTGAGGTGGGAGCTTAACGTGAACACAGTGTCGGGAGGAGACGCACTGTCCAGATTTACTCTTGTAATGTGTGTGACCTCTCCTCCACCACCTTGACCACACAGGGGTGAATTAAGTAGCAGATCTGGATGCTTCCAAGTTAATTTTACTCACAGACCACTGAGCCAACACGATGCCACCGGGTGCAATGCAAGGCTCGTGCGTCATCCGGACACGTTACTGCACACATGCAGAGCACACAGACAGTGACGGATGCCGAGAAGTCCCGTCTGGACTTCCTGAAACAAGTGCAACCATAGCCTTACATGTTCCGTTTGACCCTCAGTGGACGTTCAGCTGTCAGCTTCCAGTGTTCATTATGCTGGTGAAAATGTGAGCTCAGGTTCTGCAGCAGATCATGAGCTCCTGTCAGCCTGAAAAATGTTTTCACTTTTTATTTTTTATTTTTCCCGCAGAGTAAAACCAGTCTGCGTCGTTTCTCCAGGTTCATGAGTTTTCCTTTCAGAGAAGCCTTAATGTTCTGTGCGTAAACTTTACTTTAGGCTCAGAGCAACTCCAGATCTTATTTAAACCAAAGGCACATGTGAAGTTTGAGCTCACGCTAGTTTCAACCTACTGAACCCACTTTACCAGTAGCATGTGTGTTTATATACAAATATATTTTTGCTTTTAGGTCTTAATAGTTGGCTACATGATTTCCTATTAAAGTTATAATATTTAAAGTATAAATATAATAAAACTATTTATCTTCCCTAAGCTGTTTGCTGTTAAGAGATTTATGTTGGAAAGATGCATCAGAAGGGAAACAAATCTATTGTTTTTATCATAGTAATAATCTATTTTTACCAATAATCCATATCATATTAAAACACAGAGATGCAAGAGCCATAACTATAATCTTATATATATATATATATATACAGTATGAAATGTATTGAGAGTGACATATTTGAACTTTGCAATAGCTAACTTTTTAGCCAGAAAAGCGCAATAACAGATACAATATGTCCAGATTTGCTGTTTGTGCAGAAGCACCTGCAGGATTCTGATGTATTGGATGCATTTTGTGTACACACAGTGACTACCTGATCAAGTCTCCTGCCAGGTGCCAGCTGCAGGATCTGAACAGATTTAATAAAGACTGTACTGTAATACTGTAAAGTACTAAAATGCAACAGAACAACAATGACTCAACTTTCTGACAAAGCGCCTGCTTTGCTTTGCAAAGGGTTTCTGGCTTTTCTGAAACGTGTTTGTGAACTGATCTAACAACGTGTGATGAAATGATTTATCAGTTAAAGCAAACACGACTTTTTTTTCTCCTCTGTATGATTTTTGCTGTACATGCTCGGTATGATTTTCTTGGCCTTGCAGTTCGTCATTGGTGGTGTCCAGTGACGTGGTGATCAGAATAGTTGTTTCAGAAAGTTAGTTTTGTCATTTAGCTCATGCAGCTACAACCCCACTTCTGAAAAGTTTAGACACCCTGGATCATAAAAACCGAATCTGAATTGACTGATATCTGCCATCGGTGAGGTTCTAAATGTGTTTTCCACTTGGCCTCGGCCCTTTTTAAATGAGCTTCGGTTCAGAGACGATGGCTGAGTCTCTGCATGGTGTTCACACACGGCTGCTTCTTTGCATGATAGAGCTTTAACCAGTGTTTGTGGGTGGCATCGTGAACTGTGAGGTTATTTATGGAGGAGTGATGTCCAGAACAGAACCAGACCTGTTTGTTACAGTGTTTTCCCACCCGCTTCAGATGCTATCATCCATTAAATGGACGTTATTAGCTGTTATCAGTCCCATAGAATGGCTTCAGACTGTCAGCTGGTTAGTATCAGGCATAAAACCACTAAGGTTAATTTTAGAGAAAATAACATGGGCTATGACAAAGTATACCAGACTCCAGCGGTAGCAGATTGTTGCATTCCAACGAATGGCACTGTAACCCACTAGGGGGCACTGTCGGGACAGTCTGAAGCCATTCTATGGGACTGATAACCACTAATAACGTCCATTGAATGGACTGATAACATCCGAACCGGCTGGTTTTCCACAGGCTGGTGAAGCTCTGCTCATTTTTACTTCTGTTCTTTTTACACCCAGCTCTGTTGCTAATTAAAGTCATTAGCAGTAAAATGCTCCTCCAGCTGTTTCGTACTTTTACAGCCTTTTGTTGCTTCTGAACCAGCTCTTTTTAAAATGTGTTGCTGACACAAATATCCAACTGATCTTCTTTTTAATCATTGTACAAACTCTTAGTTAAATAGTTGATATGTTTATTATGTTTCTTTATTGGTTTATGACATTTGTGACTCATCCCATCAAAAGAAGAGTTAAGTCTAAAGTTGGTTTATGGAGAAACAGGCAATAGAGTGTTTTGATAAAAAGGTTTGCAAAAACTGCATTTTGTCAAAACATAATGAATAAATCCTTATCAATGTATCATTTGAATGAACTGTCTGAAATATAATCATAAAACAATTTTTGAAGCACTTTTTTGAGCAGTAACAAAAAAGTAACAAAAAACTGATTTTGAGAAAAAACGCCTTAAAATTTTGGGATTTTCTATTTGAGCTAGCAACGTTTTTTTTTTTTTTTTTTTTTTTAAGCTGGGAAATCTCAATATTCAAATGAGCTTTCCTCTTTATAAGGACATCAAAAATTCCTCATTAAAGTTAAATAAAATTAGGATTCAGACCAAATATTTATGTAACCAACAAGACAAATTAAGTCACATATAAGGATTTACTTATATCAGAATGATCCAGGTATAAAATTATAACACTTAAAGCAGGAACCTGAAAATGTAATTAGGTCATTTTTACCAAATTTGACTTAATCCTCATTTCGACATGATTTCCTCATTTGATTTTAGCCAAGTTTTAGAAAACATCTCAACATTTCTGGAATTGGGGTTGTACATTATGATTTTCTTTTTATTATTATTGTTCTAATTATTTACAAGAAGTTTATTTTTTTTCTTTTTCAGAGTAATAGGTATTCTGGTGTTGGTATATCTGCCTCTCTTTTGTAGCAAGAATACATCAATAGGCTGTACAGACTGTATTACAGCAAATCTTCTGTTTTAATCTTGCAAATGAATTATAGTGGTTCTGAGTTTTGACTTGATGTGTGACTGAAATGGCTTTTTTTTTTAGCAACAACCAAGGGTTTGATTTTCTCTTTTGCAGACCTGTGTTTAAGAAGTTGCAAATATTTCTTGTTTTAATGAGATCCTTAAATAAAAAAATGTAATAAAAGTAAAGTTTTGAATCAAAGTAAGGAAAGTTTAAAAAAACAGAAAAGAAAATATTTGCAGCTGCTTTTTGAAGCAGGTCTGAGTTTCTGTTGACTTTACATTTCCTGCATCTTTGTCTTTTTTTCTCTGTAGCAAAATATTCAGACATTGTGACCTCATGTTCGAAGCATCGTTTTGACTAAATGTACGACTTGACCTCAGAAGCACACTACTTGAACTTTATTTTTTAACGGATCATCCACTCGACTCATTGTCTGCCTTTTGAAGTCATGTTGAATCTAAATGCTGTAAACTCATGTTACATTCCATTGTTCTTTGGGACAGTGCAAATATTTCTGTCTGTGGTTATGACTGACTCTTTTCCTTTCCTATTCTCTCTTCTTCTTCTTCTTCTTCTTTTTTTTGTAAATTAAGTCTCAACTCTGTACGTTATTTATGGAATAAAACATCCAAACACAAATGTTTGAAACTTTAACTGTGGGTTTTTGTTTCTTTCTTGTCAAACTTGTGCTTTTGTGTTCTTAATAAAAAGAAAATGAAGGCGATGAAAACGAGTTTTTATAAAAGGAAACAGTGAGACTTGATCAGTGCTGCAGTCTTGGTGGTGATTAGTGAATTACTAAAATGAAAGGTTTTTACTCCAACAAATGAACATACACTGAATAAGTGGCTCCTTTATTCATCTTTTTAAAGGCATAGCATCTCATTAGGCTCATTTCATGTTGACAAATTGATCATTTTGAAATGAAACCTGGCAGGTCATGAAGCAAACTATTTTTATTTATTTATTTTTTTGCCACTTATCACCAAGCAACAGTAGAGCAGCCAGTTTATGAGACAGATAAGTGTGAGAAATCTCATTGGCTGCTTGGATAAATCCCTGGCTCAAGGCTGGGAAACGCACCGCCCGCTGGCTCGTGCAAACTGCAGCGCCTCAAAGCTTCTATCTGTGAGTACAGACTTTGAAATGATGAGCCAAACTCATTCTGGTCAGCTTTGGTTACGTCAGAGTGGACAATTCCCTGGGGATGACTGGAGTTTGTTACCGGACCGTCCAAGTCCCAGGAAACCAGGCGTGAGTTCCCCTTCTAACTGGATGCAGTAAACATCTTAAATTGGACAGAAACGCTTTGATAAATCCCACGGGGACGAGAAGACAGAAGCACTCCGGCAGTGAGAACTGGCAGTGCCTCATAAAGGATGTCTCGGGTTAGTTCGAACGGTGGCTTCAGGGTTCAGGGGTTCAAACCAGCGGCTCGAGTCGCTGTTGATCCAGATGTTGGAGCTGCTCAACATCTTGTTAATCTTGAATTCATAATACTCCCTCTCTTTCTGTTACCCCACCCTCTTTCTCCTCCCCCCCCTCCCCACAACCCTCTTCTCCTCAACTCCTCTTCTCGTCCTGCTTCCAAGACTCATGGCTGTGGAGGATGAAATAAGGGGCGGAGCCGTTTATGAGCCAAAAACCAGGATTTTTGCTGATCAGGTCTGTGAGTCTGCTTCTTCTCTCGTCGACTTTGTGCGTTCTCCTCTCCCATTTCTCCTCCTCGCCCCTCTGCTGTTCTCATGATTTTGTTTGCTGTGTATGCACCCACCCCACACACACACAAACAAACACACACACTCCCCCCACTGACTGGCTTGCCCCACCCCTGACCTGTCCTCTGTGTGTGAGTCCTCCATCCATGTGCAAAGCAGACAGGGAGTTTTAATGAGCAGAGTCTTTCTGAGTGTGTGATGCTCGTCCTCCTCCTCTTCCTCATCCTGTCGGGCATGTTTGGGGTCAACCCCCCCCCCCCCCCAAATGAAATGATACAGACGTGAACTCTCTGTGTCTCCAGGAGCTTCTTTCCTGCAGTTTGTTTCATTTCTTGTTCTAAACCAACCTTTTTCTTCCGGAGTCAAACTGTAGCGGCTCAGTCTAAAGCCTGAGTCGTGTGGTGAATATATGAGGGGACTGTGTGTGTGTGTGTGTGTGTGTGTGTGTGTGTGTGTGTGTGTG